TATTATTATTATTATTATTATTATTATTATTATTATTATTATTATTAGCCTGCCTCGGCCTCCCAACTCCCCGGGATCAACGGCTTGGTCTAAGCGGAGAAATCTCCCGCAGGTCAAGCATCGCCAGGCCTCCGGGCGGTCCGAGCGCTGGGGTTGTCCATTGCGCAGCCTGTCCTGGAAGTCACTGTATTCAGGCGTTCGCCCAGGACAGCTCGGGGCCGGCGGGGGCTTTCCGGCGTTCGCGCAGGCGCACTGCGTTCGTGGAGGGGGGAGCCTTGTCGCCGTCCGGCTCAGGCGCGCTGCGGGCAGGCGCACGGGCGTGTGGGGTTGCTTCTGAGCGGCGGCAACATGGACGACGAGGAGGAGACCTACCGGCTGTGGAAGATCCGCAAGACTATTATGCAGGTGAGGTGAGCGCGGGGAGGTTTGCGCGAGGCCAACCCCCCTGCCCCAGCGCCCCGCTGACTGCGTGCGCCCCGCCCGCGCGGGCCTGCAACTCTTGGCGACCCTCCAGCGCTAGCCCCCTGACCCTGCTCAGAAAGCCCTGGCCGGGCGCTGCTTCGGAGCCGGGGAGACTGCGCGGGCACCGCGGGTCCTGGAGACGAGCCGGCGCTGTCTGCGTGCCAGGCAGCCGCTCCACCACCCTAGCCCTGGCGGCTCAGCCGTGCGGTACTCAGTGTCAGGGGATCGGACACCCTTTCCTGGCTTCCCGTGACTCCCGACGCACGTGGCCTGAAAAACTATTTTAAAAATAAGATGAGCCGGGCGGTGCTGGCGCACAATTTTCATTCCAGGATTCGGGAGGCAGAGGCAGGCGGCTTAATTTAAAAAAAAAAAAAAAAAAGCAAAACAAAAACCCAGCTTTGGCCGGACACGGTGGTGCACGCCTTTAATCCCCAGTACTGGGAGGCAGAGGCGGACGAATCTCTGTGAACTCGAGGCCACGGTGGCGCTCGCCTTAGATCCCGTTGCTCTGGATGCCGAGGCAGGCAGATTTCCGAGAGTTAGAGGCCATCCTGATCTAATAGTGAGTTCCGGGACAGTCAGGACTTTGTAGAGAGACATTGCCTCAGAAAACCGAAATAAATAAAAGGTAAAAATGCTAATTTGCTCACACTCCCTTTAATCCCATCATTCTTGGGCCAGTCAGCCTCTGAATTCAAGACTAGCTTAGCCTGTTTCAAAAGTTTGCGATCACCCAGGGCTCCACAGTGAGACCCTGCCCCAAAAATAATAGTGAAAAACAAAACAGGTTAGCCAGGTGGTGGTGCGTGCCTTTAATTCCAGCACTTAGGAGACAGAGGCAGGTGGATCTTTGAGCGTTCAAAGCCAGCCTGGTCTACAGAGTAGTTCTAGGGCAGCCAGTGATACCCAGAGAAACCCTGTCTGGAAGAAAAACAAAGATCTTGGTGTTTGAGTTGAGCAGGCAAGACTGCGGTGGGGAAAGAGCTGTGTGTAATTTTGATTTATGCTGTATTGGGTGGAACCAAAAACCTGGTCTGAGCTGTCCCAGGCCTGTGTCGCAGCCCTGATCTGTGGTCTCCCTCATCAGGGCCCAAGACTGTGAGCAGGAAGGTGATGTTTGGTCCCTGTGTTGGAGCGGCTGCCATACAGCTGCCAGCGATGATGTGGGGAGAGGCAGGCTTGGCTGGGGTCTCTGGTCCCAGCCTCTCTAGGGCATGAGTGCCAGAGCGTGGTGGTGGCCATCTGCATAGCATGCAGTGCCGCTGGGGCAGTTGAGTGTCGCTGCCCGTTCTGTCCCCAGCCAGCCCAGTTCGTTCAGCGTCAGGTCTGCCTGCCCCAGCCGAGTGCTGAGGACAGCTGGCTCTGTGTCTCTGCAGCTTTGTCATGACCGTGGCTACCTGGTGACCCAGGATGAGCTGGACCAGACGCTTGAGGAGTTCAAGGTACAGTTCGGGGACAAGCCAAGCGAGGGAAGACCGAGGCGGACAGACCTCACCGTGCTGGTGGCCCACAACGATGACCCCACAGACCAGATGTTTGTGTTCTTCCCAGGTGAGGGCCTCTGGGCTGCAGCCGTGGCCTGCCTCTGGGGCCCTTCGTTCTGGTGGCCTCATCCAGGCCCTGGCCTGGGTGCCAGTTCATGGCAGCCTGACACAGTTCTGTCCACTTTAAGATCTCTCTGCTTTCTGCCCAGCCAGTGAGTGTGGGCCCCACCCAGGCCCAGTGTTGCCAGCAGGGCTGTGGCAGGCGGCCACCTGTCTGCGCTTTCCCTGTCTCTCCTGGGAGGCTTCCTTTCACGGTCAGTTGCTGTCCACTCTCACCCCTGAGTCCCAGCACAGCTGTCCCGTGGCTACTATCTGCTCCGTTCTATAGTGCCTGCCTTCTGCTCTCCCCAGACGAACAGTCTCCTTGAACCTGATGCCCTACGGCCTTGGGGCCTGGGTTTTCAGTGTGAGAACTGGGAGTGCGGGGATGGGCATGGTAGCGTATGCCTGTAGTCCCAGCAGAACAGGCGGTCTAGGGCAGCCTGGTCTACAGAGCCAACTCCAGGACAGCCAGGACTGTGTGGATCGTCGGCAGCCTTCCGGGTGCTGTGACCCTTTAATACAGTTCCCTATGTTGTGACCTCTAACCATAAAGTTACTTTTATTGCTACTGTTGTGAATCATGATGTAAATATCTGTGTTTCCCAAGGGGTTCAGGACCCACTGGCTGAGAACCACTGATGCAGCAACAGCTTAAGTCTCAAAAAAAAAAAAAAACTAAATTAAATTTTCAAAAGGTTGTGTAGAATGTGAGACCCAGCAGTTTGCGAACCATGTGTATGCTTACCTGTAGGCCTGTGGTTCTGGGCCCTGGTGCTCCAGCTAGCCCCATGTGGACACAGGCTCCATCTCCTGGCCAGTCAGTTTCTTCTTGAGGCTGTCCAGGCTGATAGACATCAGAGCTGAGGGCGCCCACCCTCTGTTCCAGGAGGGCCCTCAGAGTCTTGCGGCCTGCAGCTTTCTTCCTGCGTTGGTTCCTGGGCTCCCAGGCAGCCCTGTCATGGCTGCTGGCAAGTAGAGACAGATCACAGGCGGTCGGGGCAGTGGTGGCCTCCGGGAGCGGGTGTGAGGGTTGTGCTGTGTCCACAGAGGAGCCCAAGGTGGGCATCAAGACCATCAAGGTGTACTGCCAGCGCATGCAGGAGGAGAACATCACGCGGGCGCTGATCGTGGTGCAGCAGGGCATGACGCCGTCCGCCAAGCAGTCCCTGGTGGACATGGCGCCCAAGTATGTTCTGGAGCAGTTCCTTCAGCAGGAGCTACTCATCAACATCACGGAACATGAGGTACATCTGTCTCGGTGGGGAAGAGGGTAGGCTAGGGCGCCACCGCCTGGGGGCCGGGGCCGGGGCCGGGGCCGGGGCCGTGGACCTTTGCAGCCTTGGCTTCTACCATTCCTTTGCCGGGGCAGCACGTCTGAGCCTGCAAGGTGGTAGTATCAGGAGCCGGGTCAGGTCCTTTATCTGCCCCTGTGACAATGCCCTTTATCATGTTGGGCTCTGTTGAGGTTCCTGATGGCTGTGTGGCTGTGGGTGGGTCTCTGTCTCCACAGCTGGTCCCTGAGCACGTGGTCATGACCAAGGAGGAGGTGACAGAACTTCTGGCTCGGTAGTATCCTTTACCCTGCCTGTCCTGCCCCCACCCCCACCCCGAACACCTTGCCCTCGTGCTGTCCTTGACTGTGTCCCAGCAAGCTTCGTGAGAGCCAGTTGCCCAGGATCCAGGCTGGGGACCCCGTGGCTCGCTACTTTGGGATCAAGCGAGGGCAGGTGAGAAGCCATGGCCAGCATTCCCCTGTAGAGCCTTGGCAATTCTTGATTCCTAAAGCACCCTGGTTCCACCATCCCCTCCCTCTGAGGCCAGGGCTGGGATGGTCAGAGGACAGTGGTCCGTGGCCACTGATTCCAGGGCTCTGCCAACCCCAGCTGTCCCTGCCCCACAGGTTGTGAAGATCATCCGACCCAGTGAGACCGCCGGCCGCTACATCACCTACCGCCTGGTGCAGTAGCCACAGGGAGCCACAGTGAGGGGCCAGCGCCGCCCGGTGAGCCTGCCCGCCCGCCTCCATAGCTGTTGCCCATACTCGACCCCGCGTGGGGTCTGAGCTGCCTTCCCCAGCCAGCACACAGCACCGCACCCTTCTGAAAATGAGAAACTGTTGGGTGAGACATTCTGGCCACAGAGCCTGGTGTGTTGACCCACCTGACGGAAGGAGAGAGCTGACTCCTGCAACTTGTCCTCTGACCTCTGCACCCAGGACACGTGTGGGAGGGGGCCTTTATCCCAACACCCAGGAGGCAGAGGCAGGCAGATAAAGAGTTCCAGGCCATCTGGGGCTACATAGACTCCAAGACAGCTAGGCTACATCGTGAACTTCTTTCTCAGAAAGCAAGTAATCAAAGAGAAAAAAAAAACCCTGTACTGTTGTTCCCAGGTGAAATCCTAGCACTCTGGAGACTGAGGCAGGAGGATTGCTGTAACCTCAGGGCAAGTTTGTGGACTCTTTAGCAAGAACCAGTGCAGCACCCGTGTTCTGGTGTGGGCGCCTCTGAAAAACAATAAAAAGAAACCCACCTGTGGCGTGGGGCCTGCCCGGAAGCCTCCAGGAGCAGCTGACCAGCCTTCCCAGCTCACCAGTGCCCTCCTGCCCCGCACCTTGATGGACAGTTGAAAGGCTGCTCCTCCCCGAGGACCAGGTGCATGGCTGCTGCTCCCACAGACCCCAGGATCTGGAGCAGGGTGTGGGTCATAACCGATTTGCCTTTTGACCCAAGGGTTCCCATCTGGCCCGTCTCAGGGGACGTGGCCCTTCAGCCAGCACTGCATGTCACCAGGCAGCCTGTCCTGCCCCTGTGCGACCTGAGTGCTGGCCGTACCCCACTCCTTTATCACTGTGAGGTCACTGCTCTGTTCAGGGTCCTCGCAGGCCTCTTGAGAATTAAAAGATATTTTGTGGAGGTTTGTTATTGTAGTGGTCCTGGTACCCCACAGGGTGGCTGCTTCTTGCAGGATGCGTCCTGAGGGCAACTTCTTCTATCCCCTGTGGCTTCCCCTTCCTCCTGGCTGCTCTTCCCTCTGGACTGCTTGCCAAAGGCCGCCCTCACTATCATGAGGGCTGGGGGAGGACTGTGGCTGGTGAGCACTGTGCCCAGCCCTTTCTTTCCACGGTGAGATTTGAGACAAGGCAGTGCGATCGGGGCTCCAGCTGACAGTTGTCGGGGTGACCCTTAAGCCGATGCTCTTCTGGCCGCCTCAGTGCTCAGGCTGGCCTGGAGGCTGAGGGCCTCCTCGCCTGTGCTCCGCCCTGGCACTTTCTCCCAGCTGTGGGGTACCCACCCTACTCACAGCCCCGGAGGGCCGAGTTTGTCCATAAGGCCCAGCAGCTGCCATCTTGTAATTCAGGACATTGCATCGCCCGTGTTAGCGTCAGCCATCAGTCCAGCCCGCCTGTCCAGCATCTGTGAGTCCATTTCCAGTCTTGCCTTCTGTTCTTCGCATCCCCTACCATTGTCCCATTGCCTCTTGTTTGGGTTTGGGTCTCATGGAGCCGGCTGTCTTTGAGGTTCTGCCACATTGGCTGGTGCTGAAGCCTCCTGTTGGTAGCTGCGTGATTGTCCAGCTTATGCCTCCCTTCCCGTGGACACTGGGCTGTTGCACCTGTCAGTTGCTGTGTCTGTGGCACACACCAGGACCAGGAGTGGAGTGTCTCAGACGCTTTTGTTTTGAGACAAGGTTTCCCATTGTATGTGGCCCAGACTATCCGGAGACTTCCCAGTCTCCTGTGTGTTGGCATTACTTTTTAAACCTTTATTTTCTGTTTTTTTTTTTTTTTTTTTTTTTAAGATTTTATTTCTTTTACATGCATATGTATTTTATCTGCATGTACACCTACACACCAGCAGAGGGCATCAGATCCCAGTATAGATGGCTGTGAGCCACTTGAACTCAGGTCCTCTGGAAGAGCAGGCAGTGCTCTTAACCGCTGAGCCATCTCTCCAGCACCTTATTTTGGGTTTCTTATAACTCTTTTTCTTCCTGCCCAACACTTATCTCTTCTACCAGCACTGGGTAGGAGAGAAAGGTTTGTGGGGAGATGGGGGCATAGTTTGTTTAGCTGCTGCCTGTGTCACCAAGCCAATCCTTTTTCCCGGTTCTTGAAGATGTCAAAGGCTCGTACCCCGTGGAATTGAAGTCATACATAGTTACTCTGTGGGACCCGGGACCTGAACCTGAGCCAATTGCCAGTGCTCTAACCTCTGGCCATCTCTTCTGGCCACCTCCATCCTTTCTTGTGCATACCTTGGTCCCCTCAGTGTTTCAGTGAGGTCCTCAGGCCACCTGCCCCTGTGTCCTGTGACACGGTGGAATCTTGAGGCCAGCCTGAAGCGCTGCAGAGGGCTGACCTGTGCTGCTGTCCGTACCTCAGGTGCGGAGGGTGGGGTGTTTTCCGCTCAAGACTGAGGTTTCTGGAGTTCACATTCACACAGCCTTCCCCTCCTGTCTAGGAGGGTGGCTCTCCTCTCTAGAGGGACACTGAGAATCATCCTGTCCGAAACCTGCCTGATCTAGAATGGCAGGGAAGTCTCACTCCCAGAGGCCCCTGGGGTCTTCAGGTCTGTATAGACAGGACTTGGGGAAGGAGTTAAGTGTCTTCAGTAGGGCAGAGCTGCAGTGTGGGCAGATGGAAATGGATGGGGGGAGGACAGCCATGCAAAGACACCTAACCAGGGGGCACAGAAGGTTCTCAGCTGTGGTCACCACAGGCCGAGCCTAGAGCAAACTTGCGCCCCATTCACCTTCTGTGAAGTCATACAACAAAGAGCGCAGGAGCCCCGTTTGTCATTCTGTGGAGCTGGTGGGTGGGGTGTGGCTTCTGGTGGCGAGCACCCATGCAGCAGCGGGAAGCCCAGGGTTTCACACCCAGCACCACGCGGCCAACCTTCCTCACTGTCACACCACGGCCTTTTCATGAACTGTCTACTGTTTGACTAAACTGTGAAGTGGGGCCTGCTGCTTCTGGGCCTCATGGCAAAGTTCTCGTGACTTCTTACAAATGTAAATCAAGATCGGGCTATGGCTCAGTGGATCCACCCCATGGGGGTACAGGGTGGCCCACTCGCCAGCTCTAATCCCAGCGGCAGGGAGGTCACAGAGTTCCAGGCCCCCTATGCCTACATAGCACGGCTTTGTCTGAAGACAAATTATTTCAGAAAACCAAATCTTACGTACATAGAGGTCAACAAGTCTGCTCACAGCCTGCCTTAGTTCCTCTCTTGAGGATCTGAGCCCAGACTCCCGTCATGTCTGGGTTCTGGCAAGGGGCCAAGGCATCTTGTTTACCAAGAAGAGAGCCGCCCCTGAAATGCTGACCATGACTTTGTCCAGACGGTATCTGAGTCACCCAGCTCTCAGGCATTTTATCTGCGCCTGCGGCTTGCTGCAGGCGCCTGGCTGGCCCTTCACCAGGAACCCCCCTCTCCTCCCAGGAAGGAAGGCCCCTTCCCCTCTTGCTGGTATCAGGAGAGCAGAGTCCCGTGTCTCCCGTGCCTGGAATGACAAGCTGGCCCCTCTCCCCGCAGCAGCTCTATGGAGCCTGGAACTCGTTAGTAGCTGAGGAAGCCTGATTTTCCACCCCTCGCCTCCACTGTGCTGGGGTGGCAGGTGTGCCTGACTGGGTGTGATGCAATGTAGCTGTCGTGCTATGACTTGGAAGGCTGAAGCAGGAGGAGGCTGTGGACCAGGCTGGCCTGGGCCAAGGCTGACCCTCAAGACATTAAATTCAGGGCCAGCTGCCAGCCTGGCAGGACCTACACGGTAGAAGGCGAGAGCTGACTGCTGCAGGCTGTCCTCTGACCTCCGCACACTCGCTGTGGCGCCTGTGTGCGCACGGGCACACACAACAAAAGATAAAAACCAGATCGAGAGACAGACACCTACCCAAGATCACACAGCCAGGAAGTCACAGAGGGACCCGGAACCCTGGTCAACGCCAGCACCCAACCTACTACAGCAAAAAGGACATACAAAGCTGTGACGGCGGTGGCAAACACCTTTAATCCCAGCACTCAGGGAGGCAGAGGCAGGTAGATCTATGAGTTCAAGGCAGCCTCGTCTACAAAGCGAGTCCAGGACGGCCAAGACTACACAGAGAAACCCTGTATCCAAAAAAAAAAAAAAAAAAAAGTAAAAAGAAAAAGAGGAAAAGAAAAAAATTGACAAACACTGGCGCCTGGGGCTCAGTGGCTGTCACACTTGCCCAGCATCTATGGGACACTGGGCTCATTCCCAGCATCACATGAACTGGCTTGAAGGGCAGGCCTGTCCCCCAGCACTCTGGAGGTAGAGGCAGGAGGATTGTAAGCTCATGGTCTTGTTTGGCTACACAGCAAGTCCGAGGCCAGCCTCCGAGGTCCCGTCTCCAAAAGGAAAAAGTAAAATAAAAACACATCGTACATTCTTCTGGGCAGCTCTGCCCCAAGTGACGAGAAGTTGTCACACAAGTGTGTGTTCAGGACTGCCTGGCTCAAGAACCCCAGGGTTCCTGTAACAGGGTGCACCCCTCAGACCACTTGCTTGAGCCAGACTTAGGAAACAGACTGAGAAAGATGGGTTTCAGATGTAGGCCAGGACCTGGAGAGCAGTGGCTGCTCCTGCAAGACCCAGGTTCGAGAGCCTGCACCCTCTTCTCCTTTCTGCAGGTACTGCGTGAATGTGGCTCACAGACACGCAGGCAAAACACCAAACTCCTGAAACAAGTCTTTACAAAAATGAAATACTGCGGGGTGTTGTGGTGTGCACTTTTCATTCCGGCGGGTGGGAGACAGAAGACGGCAGATCCCTGTCCTGTGGCTTTGAGCCAGCCTGGTCTACATAAGGAGCCTGAAGATAGCCAGGGCTCCAAAACAAGACAGTCTGAGACTCAAAATAACAGCCTGGGGCTGTAGCTCAGTCGGGTAAGAAATTTATTCCAAGCAAAACAGGGTGCATGGGTGAAAGTCCTCCACTGCACCTTGGGAGAGGCCTACTGGGCGCTCCCAACCTGCTTGTCCCCGCCCAGCCTCCTGCAAGGCTCCACACCAGAGCTGCCCCAGCTCCACACACAGATGCCAGGCTGCACCCACTACACGGCATCCTGACTGGCTTCTAACCCCAACGCTACACCCGCCCAGACACATCTAGGCAGGGGTGCGCCTGGCATCCTGGAATGATGGGGACCACGGGAATCCAGCCGCTGTACCTACTCCGGCCAAGTCCAATTGAGTCAGGCCACTCCCTGCGAGGCCAGGGGCCCCTGAGCTCCTTGAGGTTCTTTCTCAGCACTGTGGGAAAATCCCCAAGTCAAGGGGCCCTTAGTGTCCCTCAGAGTGGCTGGCAGTGGGCTGATGGTCTTCAGCACCAGGTCAGACGAACTGCGGCCGTCGCTCCTGACTGGTGCCACCCGTGATCTGCCCGCCTTGGAGGTGCATGGTGGGCAGAGGGGCCCGTGCTGTGTTGTTGGACTGGTTGCTGTTGAAGGCACACAGCTGCTGGCCCGGGTCTCCCTCCTCACCCTCCAGCTGCTCCTCACTGCCACTGCGGCTCTGGGGACCTTCCTCCAGGCCTGCCTCCGTCTGCTCCAGGAAACTGAAGCGGTGCAGAGCGCTGGCGTCGGAGGAAGACAGGGGGTCAGAGGCTTCTTCCAGCTCGGAGTCTGAGTCATTGGACGCCACTCGGGATTCTTGGGCCGAGAGAGAGAAGGGGACACAGAGAGAGACACGGTGAGAGAAACTCGTCCCTTGACCAGGGATCAGCCATCTTGGACTCAAGTCACCGTCCTCAGCCCATTCTTTCCAGCAGCAGTTCCTCTGCTGGCCCTGCTGCGGGTCCACATTCACAGGCCTCTCCACCCTCCATCCCTTCCCTGGGGTGGGAGGGGCCCACCAACACGGTAGAGGAAAAGTCAGTTCACGAGGACCACCCAGCCCACGGCGACAGCCTGGGCACTGGCCAGGGTCTGGGTCCCACCACTCACCTTGGCCTCCATCCTCTGCCTCCTCCTGCAGGGGGCTGACAGTGCCTTCAGTGGTCTCCAGCTGGGCACACTGGGCGGACACCCCCTCCTGCGTTGTGGAAGGGTGTTAGGGGTGGGGTGACCCCAGCACGCCCCCAATGTCCCAACTCCGTTTATCTTTACTTCATGGGTCTGCACACCAATGTAGGTACTGTGTTCCTGTGTGTGTGCTTGGCGCTCAGGAAGCCAAAAGAGGGCATCAGGTCCGCCCCAATCAGAGGGGCGGGCAACTGTGGCCGGCCTCAGGGGTGCTGAGGATGGATCGCAGGTCCTCTGCAAGGGCAGCTGGTGCTTCCAGATGCTGGACCCCTCCCCTCCAGTCACTTTAAATGGAACCCTGTTAAATCTGCTTGCTTGCTTTTGAAGCAGGGCTTCTCTGTGTGGCCCTGGCTGTCCTAGAACTCACTCGGTAGACCAGGCTGGCCTCAGGACTCAAGAGAGCCCCTGCCTCCCACGTGCTGGGGATTAAAGGTGTGCGCCACCACCGTCTGCCTCAGAATTATTATTGTTTCTGTTTGTTTATTTGTTTTAAGATTTACTCATTGTTTACACAGTGTTCTGCCTGCATGTGTGCCTGCGCACCAGCAGAGGGCACCAGATCTCACTATAGATGGTTGGGAGCCACCATGTGGTTGCTGGGAATTGAACTCAGGACCTTTGGAAGAGCAGCCAGTGCTCCTAACCTCTGAGTCAACTCTCCAGCCCTCAGAATTATGATTTTACTTATTAGTAATTTACATTTTGAGACAGGGTCTCAGTGTGTATCCCTGGCTGGCCTGGAACTCTCTAGGTAAAGCAGGGCAGTCTGGAATTCTGAGAGAGATCTGCCTGCCTCTGCCTCCTCAGTGCTGGGATTAAAGACATTTTTCTTTCTGTTTTGGATACAGGTATACCATGTAGCCCAGGCTAGCTTCAAAGTTGCTCTGTAGCCAAAGCTGGCCTTGAGATCCTGGTCCTCCTCCCTCCACCTGGGTCCTGGGGTGAGAAGCCCACACAGCAACTTGGCTTATTAGTCTGGGACATTAGTGTGCGACAGGCCAGTACTCTGCTACTGAGCTGTACCAGAACCCTCTGAGCATTTCTTGCGTCACTACGCCATAGCCTGAGGCTCCCACCCCACCAGCCCTCCCTTACCTGGCTGCCAGGTGACTCCTCCGGCTCCTCCCCAAAGACCAGGCCATAGTGGACGATCAGGGTTTCAATGACACGGGCCTGGTGGGGGTAGTCCACCAGGGAGGAGAGGGACACAGTGGCCTCGGTGGGCCGAGGCCGCAGCAGTGTGGGCCCAAAGACGATGCCCAGATTCCCAGGGGTCATCTTATTATCCTGCTCCACCTCCACGATCCTGGGGCCGGGAGAGAGGTGTGAGCGGCCGTCTCCGGGGACCCCAGCCAGCTCTCGCCCCAGCGGGGGCCTCACCTTCGCAGGTGCCTCAGCAGGTACAGCAGCGTGGCCCGGTTTTCAGCCGGCAGGTCCCGCATGAGCTCACGCAGGCGGCCCGCCATGGTCAAGGTTGCAGCCTCGCTCTCCGCCCCATCCTGCCGGCCCCGGCTCGCAGCCTTGGCCTCGGCCTCGGCCTTCAGGCTGTCCTTGGCTAGTCCCACCAGCTCGTGGTAGAAGCGAAAGGAGATGAGCGGCTCCGGCAGCTGCAGGGCGACACAGGGGGAGGTCACGGGCCGCGCCGAGCCAGGGCGAGCACCTGACGTGCCCTTTTTGACGAGCACCAAACGGGGGCCCATCCCCTACCTAGCAGTAAGGCCTTGTGTCCACCCTCAGACCCGCCCACCACGCCAGGGCCCCACTCACTGCAGTGTCTGAGTCCGCCCCATCCCTGCCTCAGGCCATCACTACTTCTAGCCTAGCCCAGGAGCTGGTGCCACCCGCCACGTCAGGCCCCGCCCTCGCCCGTGCCCCGCCCCTCCCAGGCCCGGCCCCGCCCCCGCCCCTCCCCAGGCCGCACCTGCCGCAGGTAGAGCTTTAGGACGTTGCTGATGTCGTGGGGGGAGGCCTGCGACAGCTCCACCAGCTCTTTGCCATTCTCAAAGGCCTGGCAGAGCTTCTCCACGCGCGTTTTCACGCCGTTGACGCGGTAGATGCCCTGAGGAGCCAACAATTACCCTCAGGTCTGGACGCGCCCTGCGGCCCCCTCCTGCCCAGGGCCTCACCTTGGTGTGCAGTGCCCGCCGCTCAATCTCGCAGACACACTTTTTGACAATGAAGGGCACGCCGTCGGGGGTGCCGCGGGCCGCGTGGCTGAAGTCCTGTCCGAAGAGCTGCAGGCGGCCCTGAAGCTTCTTGTGGCCACACTGGATGGCCAGGGTCTCCAAGCACTTTTTGTGACAAGCCAGACAGCACTGGGAGACGGGGGAAACGTGACTTTTCTGGGCACTTACTGTACTGCCAGGCCGTTTCCAGCATCCTTCCGCAGCCCCTGAACACCCTGCCAGAACTGGACCCTGCCCTGCCCTCCAGTCCATTTCCACCCTCTTGAGACGCGGCCCATCCCGGCTCCGGCCTTGCTATGTAGCCCAAGATGACTGAGACCTCGGGATCCTACTGGCCCCTCCCAGGAGGTGGCACGGCCCCACGCCTGGCCTTCGTGGGGGCTGGAACGGGCCCCAGAGCTCTGCGTGCCATCCCCGACCTCAGTGCCCATCCCCGAGGACCCCGGGCCGACACACCTCCTCGCACTCGGCGCCCTGGAAGTACACGTAGCTGTTACACTCCCGGCACTTGGCAGGCGTGCGCAGCTTGCGGAGCCGGTGTGTGCGGGCGGCCTTGGACAGCCCCACATGGCGGAAGGGCCCACTGGGCACGGCCACGGGTAAGTCGGGGTCCATGCCGTTGAGGTCAGCTGGGGACAGGATGAAAAGCCGGCGTCACTGAGGCAGGAAGGGGCGGCTGGACAGACCGTGTTCGAGCCCCTTCCTGTCCTGCTCTCACCTGACTCGAAGGCGGGGGCCCCCAAGCCAGCCTCCCGCTCCACCAGCTCCTCGCTGGACGACACGGTCCCGCTGGACGATGTCCGATCGAACTTCTTCAAGTCCCCTGAACGGAGAGCGGGCTTGTGAGCCGCTGGAGCCGGCTGGCCCGGCCTGGAACCCCCGCCCCCGTGTGACACGCAGGTCCCCGTCACCTGCGCTGGCGTCCAGGCCGACCTCGGCGTCTGCGATGCTGATGGGCCAGGACTTATGAACCTGGTGACCACGTCCCCCTGCGGGGCGAGGGAGGGATGAGAAAAGGGTGTCTCCCTGGCGGGACGCCCCGGGGCCCCGCGCGCGCGCTCGCGCACACTCACCCCGGTGGTCCTTGCCGGGAGCCCCCTCAGAGGCGCCACCTTCCTCGGGGGCACTGCCGGCGGCGTCGGATGCCGCAGCATCCCCGGGGCTGAAGCTGCCCTTCCGTGTCCGCATGATCGGGGACCTGGGGGTAGGTGTCAGTTAGAGCTCCCCCCCCACCCCGGGCCTTCCACCCACGCCCCACTGCAAGCGCGCAGCTGCACCGGGCCGAGGTACCACGCGTTGGCGGAGACGTGAGGCTCGAAGTCGTAGCGCACGTCCGGCTCCTCGCCTCGCTGCAGCTGGCGCACGTGCGACGCGTACTGCTGGCCCGGGTCGTACAGCTTGCTGCTCTCGCACAGCATCTGGAAGTTCACCGGCAGCGGCGCCGTCTGCATGTGCATCAGCTGGTAGTAGGAGATGGTGGCCTGCGGCGGAGGCGGCGCCGGTCAGGGCCACGCCCACGGCCACACCCCCGCAACAAGCCCCTCCCCCAGCGCGGCCCCCTGGCTACAACAGCCCAGCCCCTACGGCGCGCACACCCTCGGCGCAGCACCCACCAGACCCTCCTTCTGTGCTTCGCCCATGCCCCCCGCCCCCACAGCTCACAGGAGACCGTGACTCTCCCGGGGCGCTTGGCCGGTTGCCCCATCCCGTCCCCGCCCCCTGCACTCTGCCCCCGTCCCCGCCCCTTGCACGGCTCCCTGTCCTAACTGTAACACACCAGACCAGTCCTGGCTCTGACCCTCCGGAGCCAGGGAAGGCTCTTGCCCTGCCCCCTCCCCACCGCTCTACCCCTCTGGAATCACCCCTGCACAGCAAGCCCTGCCCTGATCATGCCCCGCCCACTGCCCACGCGCAGCCCGCCAGGTGCCCATCACACACCGACTTGATGGTCTGATCACTCTGTCTGATGACCTCCTGGATCTGCCGCAGCGCCGTCACCTTCGTGTCCTCCAGCTCCTGCTTCTGTGTCTTTGCGTCTGCCACGCAGGTGCGGTAAGTGGCCATGGCCTCCTCAGCCTGAGGAGGAGGAGGTTGGGGCCGGGGGTCAGTGGGGCTCTTGACACACAAATCCAGGAGAGACCATTATGGTGGGCGGAAATGCCACCACAGTATCCAGGGAGCCTGAGGGACAGTCTGCGAAAGCTAGCTAGACTGTCCCGAGATAAAATATAAGAGGTGGGCCAGGGGCGTGGCTCACCCTAGAGTCCCGCAGTGAGGGGCTGGGGGCGTGGTCGAGGTGGAGCCCCGCCCAGAATCCCCAGTGAGGGCTGGGGGCGTGGTCAGGGTGGAGCCCCGCCTAGAATCC